CTCAAAAGAGAAATGGGTTGTTTTAATACCTGAGCATCATCATCGTCGTCATCTTTGAGAAGAGCTAGAGCCCCAGAGACATCTGGGTCAATCCCAACAACCCATTTCCCACCACTACCCTCATGTTTGTCCTTAATCCCAGATGAGTCCGATCCTGGTGATGGAAATGGGCAGGAGAGAGAATCCAGCCAGTTCTCTTTCAGCTCCAGAGCGTCAACCCTAGCCCTAGCTTTACTTGGACCCCTACCCTTCAGAGGAGGGATAGTGAGAGTGCAGATGCTCTTGAAGCTAGGGTTAGGGTTTGGGAATAATCGGAGTTTGGAGGAGGATAGGAATTGCGATGGCCTGATTTTGATAGTGGCCATGAATGAAGAAGCAGAAGAAATGAAGGAATTGGAGGGAGAATTGAGAAGCACTGGATAGGGGTTTTGCGGAGGTTATCCTCACTCCTTACTTTGGGAATATACACCTCACGTGCGGAGGTAATTCACAAGATCGCCTTCAATGGTTGTATTTGTTATTTTTACCTTTTAAATTAGGAAAAATTGTGTCAATGTCCAAAGATAACAAAGCTCATGTGGCCGAGCTCTCTTGAACTTTTACCCATGTTGTTTAGCCCTAAATGACCCAAAAATGTGGCCCAGCCCAAAAGCCTATGTATTTGATGTATTTGTGCTCCTCTTCCGAAATTGCCCTCTTCTCATGGAAACACATCCCAAATAACTAGATCTTTCCTCCTCTGCTCCTCTCCCCTAACCCTACCTTTCTCCTCACTATCTCTCTTACTCATCTTACCCTCCTACCCCGACATCTTCCTCACCCGGCTCCTCCTCTACCACCATCGAGCATACCCTCCAATCCCGTCATCTTAGGCAAGTATTGAGAAGGCTTAGAGCAAAAGGACAGGCGTTCGGCAAGATGGATGGAGAGAAGCATGGAGAAGGAGTAGGAGAGAAGGAAGGAGAGCTCAAACTCATCGAGCAAGTGAGGTTCATGGTGATGGGAAGTAAAGGGAGATTGGAAGGGGGGTATGGATGGATTTGGTGATGAAGGTGGTAGGAGATGAAGATGAGGGTTAGGGCTCATATCTAGTGAGTAATGAAAGAGGAGGAGGATGATGAGATTTTTGTGATATATGTGTTACTTGTCGAAATGCTTGTGAAGTGGATGAGTTGGCTTGCAGGTTAAAATAAATTTACTTGGGCTAAAAATTTATCGATGTCTATAGAGTGTTTGATGAAGTGCCAAAGAGAGAGATGATTTCTTGAAATGTGATAATAACATATCGTGTACAAAGAAAATGTTATAGAAATATTATAACTGAAAAAACACAGAAAGTGCAAACTAAAATGTAAGTAATCATTAATGTGTTGATAAACTGGGATTTGTGTGATGTAAGTTTTGTGATTTCAGGTTTCACAGTACAGACCCATCTTAAATGTTAACTTTAATTGTAACATGTTAACTATTTCTGTCGTCTATTAACTATCACATCTATCTATTAACTTTTACTTGAACCTGTTAACTTTTCCAATCGCAACTATCTGTTAATTCTTACATGAGCTTGTTAACTATTCATGTCGTTTGTTAATTGTCATTGTTACCTGTTAACTTTCACATGAACCTATTAATTTTCACGATCACAAGTTAATTTTATAGTTTATTTAAAAATTTGACTGGTTTCTTAAAGCTTATAAAAATCTTCCACAATAAGCTACAAAAGTCTTAACAAGTTACATTACTCTATCAAAAGTATAGTTCTACATAACAATCCACACTAATCACCAATTAGAATCTTTTTGCTGTCAATTTGATACGCTTGTTATTAATACTGTATATACTTAATAGGTAATATACAGAGTTAACAACTTTTAGCGAAAATTAACAGGAAAAACCAAAAGGTAACATGTTTAAGTAAAAATTAACAGCTAACTGAGATATTTAACAAGAAACATAAATAGCCAACATATAGTAAACATATACTTTATATTCATTAGTCTTATATTATTACAGCTGATATTGATTGAATACACAATTTGATTGGTCTTACATTCTTAAAGTTTAACAAAATTCTTCCACAATGAGCTACAAAATTCTTAACAATCTATAGTGTTCTACCAAAAGTATACTTCTATATAACAATTCACACTAATCAACAAGTAGATTCTTTTTTCTATCAATTTGATATATTTATTGTTGATATCATTTATACTTAACAAGTAATATCTAGAGTTAACAACTTTCAGTAAAAATTAACAGGAAAAATCAAAAGTTAACAAGTTTAAGTAAAAGTTATCAACTAGCTAGGATAGATAACAAGAAATGTAAATAGCCAACATATAGTAAACATATGCTTTATATTAATTAGTCTTACATTCTTATAATTGATATAACTTGAATACATATTTTGATTGGTCTTACATTTTTAAAGCTTAACAAAATCCTTTCACAATGAGCTACAAAATTCTTGACAACCTTGTTTGCGGAAAAAGTTGCTGTGTTCATTGCTGCATTCATTACAACTTCAATCGTTACAATGAAATAAAAAGATAGCCTTTTTATAAGACCGGTACACAATGAAAACAAAATAAATACAACTCTTTTCAAACAAACGCAAGATCTGTTCGTCATCTCTTGCTTGCGTGGGTCTTTTGCCTGTGACGGGGATGTTGATATCCGTGGACCACCGGGGCACTCAGATCTGGTCCGATAAAATCGGGCAGAGTTTCGTCTATCCGCGGGGGGATTTTAGAAACTCTGAACCCCGTCGATCCGCGTGAGATCTCAGAGGTGTAAAGCTTATGCCTCGACTAAAACGAGGCACTAGCTCTCCTTTGTATCACCGCTAAGGGCAACACTAAGGGAAAATAAAGAAAAGGGGAATGAAGAAGGAGGCTCCTTTGCTGCAGAAGGCTCGCTCACTCCTCGATCCGGCAGGGCTTCGCCGCTCTCTTAGAAAACCCCGACTCCTTCCTCCGGCAGGGCTTCGCCGCTCCTCTCTGGAATTTCAGATCTTAAAGGCTAGAGCTCTAGATCTGAAATTCCTCTCCCAAAACCAAGCCCAAGAGAAATGAGGCCCTAGGGGCCTATTTATAGGAAAACAAAGGGGGGGTAGGGGCTGGTTGAGGACACCCCCTAGGGGGGTGTCTCGGCTCCAAAACCGAGACACCCCTTGGGGTGTCTCGGCCATGGCCGAGACACCCCCCGGTGTCTTGGTTTTGCCAAGACACCCCTCGGGTGTTTCGAGCTTGCCGAGACTCCGTTTAGGTGTTTTGTTGGTTCCCCTGTATATTCTTCGTCCGGATTCGGATTTGAGTGATTCCGGGTGCGTTGGATGCGCGACGAAGAGTTTGACCTGCTCTGGTGATTGGATTATCTGTAGAGTGGTCGAGGCATGAAGGGCGTTGTCCTTTTTGTGAACAGTGCCGGGTTTCCGATTGGTCCGGGTCTTCGTGATTCCGAAGTCCTATCCGCTCATGTAACTCGTCGATTCACTTCAGTCGTTCGTCGACGTCGATTAGGCTCATGTGGATTGGATGGTGACGTTCATCGTCGCTCGTTAACACTGAACCGGTTGTGGAGAACTATAGGCAATTTTTGATGCCTACAGATACCCCCTCCAAAGTGTTCCTGACTCGTTTCTTTTATAGAAGAGGCTGGAATACTTTGGATGTGATTGATCTGGCCTTCAGTCGGCGTAGTTAGCTTCAACTCTTGACTCTTTCGATTTTCGATCTATCCGATGCTTTGACGAATAGCCGAGGTTCTTCCGGCGCTGCGTTTATCGTCTGGCCGTCGTCGGAGTCTCGAGTCTGCAGCTGATGAATTGAGTTTGGCTCGTGTCATTGAGTTGACTTTGAACTACCTCCGCCACATTGTGCTGGCATCTTCTCAGGTGGAGGATAGGTTGACGCAGTGGCATGAACTGCGATCTTCCGTTGGCAGCGAGCTTCGATCACGTGAGCGCATTGTCGAGCAGCTGATGGCCTCTCTGGCGAGGAAAGACACCAGCAGAGCTGAGTTAGTGAGCTCCTTAGATTCCACTCGTGCAGAGATAGCTAGACTGAAGGAGGCCTTGGAACGCGCCGAAGAATCTGCCGCTACCATTTCTGAGGAACTGGTTGGGTTGGAGCGTTCTCGTGAATGGACACTCGACAGGCTGGGATCAGCGCAGGAGGGGTTGATGAAGCTGCGACACGAAGCCGCAGAGGTTCTCAACAGTTCCGAAGATTCTGTCCGAGCTAGCCTGCAGGCGGAGTTCGAGCAGGACTATATGGACAGGCTCTCCGGTTTAGAGTCTCATATTCTTAGCCGTCGGTTGCCTTCGGGTTGACGGACTTGTTGTCATATGCTTTTACTTGATTTATTAATAGAAAATCCGCATTTGCTTCTTTTGTGTTTTCTCTGTATCTCTTCCGAATGACAGATTTATGGGATTTTTGGCAAACCCCCAGCCATCAACGGGTTTGAGGTGCCTTTACCGATTACCGTTTTTTGAATTCGTAGATTCCGTCATTTTATATGGAAGAAGGGCACCTTGCACCGCGTGTTAGGTGATGACTTATCCCTTCTTAGGCTTCGGGATAAAATTCCCCAGGTTTAAACCCTGGTAACTTTTTTCGGTCGGTGAAAGATTTTAAACCGGCTATACGTGTTAGGTACAGACTTTAGGGTTTTTGGCCAACCCCCAGCCTTCAACGGGTTTGACGTGCCTTTACCGATTACCGTTTGAATCGGGCTAGCATGCGAATTGTCTAAACCTGTTCCGCATGTGACGTTGTGCTAGGAGAGCGAACTCTCCGAGACTTGGTGCTATGATCTTGAATACATAGACTTCGTCTTTCTCACGGGAAAAGACTACCCGGCAACACGTATTAGGCGTTGACTTCATCCCTGTCTTTTCTGAAAGCAAAGACAGAGGAAAAGTTGCTATGATTTTGAATACATAGACTTCGTCTTTCTCACGGGAATAGACTACCCGGCAACGCGTGTTAGGCGTAGGCTTATCTCTATTTTAGGAATTGAGATCAATTTCCCCGGGTGCAAAAGTACCCAGATGTGAGAGCGTGTCTCTTGAGAGAGGAAGAATTTTATATTCTATCTCCCAATGGAAAGGAAACTCGAGGTGGCACACCCCCAGAATCCGAAAGGCTCAAACGACCCTAACTGTCGTAAGGTTTGGTCATTTGACTCTGAAGAGGAAGAATTTTATATTCTATCTTCAGCTGGAAAGGAAACTCGAGGTGGCACACCCCCAGAATCCGAAAGGCTCAAACGACCCTAACTGTCGTAAGGTTTGGTCATTTGACTCTGAAGAGGAAGAATTTTATATTCTATCTTCAGAACTGGAGAGGAAGAATTTTATATTCTATCTCCAGCAAAAGAGGGAAACTCGAGGTGGGATCTCCACCTCCAGAATCCGCAGGATGAAACTAGAA